AATTTTTTCAAATGTTGCAACTATGTTGCAACATATGTTATAACAGTGGTATGTTGCAACATATTCATAAAGGCTACTATCTTTAGTTAAAACTAATTGTAACGTAAGTTGCAACATTAAAAGTTGCAACATATTAATTACAGTTTCTATCTTTAGCCGCCCTGAAAGTCAGACGTGGCATTAATTAATAAAAAAATCAATTTTTATTAATTTTTTATATAAAAATGCTGCCCCAAAAGTCAGACACAACATTTATTAATAAAAAAATCATTTTTTATTAATTTTCTATATAAAAATGCCGCCCTGAAAGTCGGACGCGGCATTTATTAATAAAAAAATCAATTTTTATTAATTTTTATATAAAAATGCCACCACGAAAGTCGGACGCAGCATTTATTAATAAAAAATCATTTTTATTAATTTTTTATATAAAAATGCTGTCCCAAAAGTCGAACGCGGATTTTTGTTAAAAAAACAAAATTGTTGTTTTTAACATTAAATCGCTGTTCTGAACGTCAGAGACAGATTTTTGTTAAAAAAAAACAAAATTATTGTTTTTTAACATTAAAATGCCGTTCCGAACGTCGAAGGCAGATTTTTGTTAAAAAAAACAACAAAATTGTTGTTTTTTTAATATTAAAACGCTGTTCCAAACGTCAGAGGCAGATTTTTGTTAAAAAAAACAACAAAATTGTTATTTTTTAATAATAAAACATCGTTCTGAACAGCAGAGGCAGATTTTTGTTAAAAAAAATTTTTGATCCATCAGATATAGATACAAATTTGAATACGTATTCAGATTTGTCAGATTTGAATACAGATTCAGATTCAGATTTGTCAGATTCAGATTGAATCGAATTCAGATTTATCAGATTCAGATCAAATCAGATTCAGATTTTTCAGATTCAGATTGAATTAGATTTTGCCTAAATTTGATCTGATTTGATCTGTGTAGAACACTAACCTAAGTTTAATATAAATTCACACTAAGTTGCAATATACCAGTGTATGATTTTCATAGTGCAGTAGTTACACTTGCACATGACTAATAAAATTTCGCACATAAATTTTGTATAAGTATGCGTAAATCTATACAGAAAATTTTAGAAAATTGCTGCACAACCCACATACAGTCCGCATAATTCTGCACAGTTAATGATTGTTGATTGATTATCAGATCAATAAAAAAAAATAAAAAATAAAAATAAAAATAATGTACTGTATATTCAGTCTTTCTGAAAATATTTTTAATTGATTCTATTTAAATGTAATTTTTGGAGATATTTAACCATAATTTTTTTTATGAATTTTGATTATCATTATTATTATAATGTAATCAAAATTTTAACTTTTTTTTTTTAATGAAAAAATGGATAAGTTTTTAGGCTGCTCTGGACAAAGCAATGAAACTTCTAAAAGAAAGTTGAATTCTGCAACTGATGAGAGTAAAGTTAATAAAAAATTAAAAACAGCTGCTGCTCTAAAAAAATTTATGGTGTAATATTCATGATTGGTTAGAGTATCATAATATTGATGAGAAAGTTTTTATGTTTTGTACCTGATGTGAAAAGGTGGGTTATAGCTAGTAGTACCAGCCATTAGAATCACAGTTGACGGCTGAGTCGACTCTGCAAAAATTATTTAGAGTCGACTTCAGAATTTTCAATTACTGAGTCATGGCTGAGTCGCTGTCCCAAATTTGATATAAGGTCAGAATATTGTGAAATTTTTAATTAAATAAACTTCAAATTTTTAGTCAAATAGGATTCTTGTCAACATTATTTATAATAAAACTTATAATTATTTATCTTTTTGCAACATTAATTAAATTTTAAAAATTTTTGAATATTAATAATACAATTATCATCGCTAATTTCAAATG